CCTTTTCGTCGTTTCTGCCTACGCTCCCACTGACTGCAGCCATGATGAAGTAAAAGATGACTTTTACAGAAAACTCTCTGAGCTTCTTCAGAAAGCTAAGCGCTCAGACATAGTAGTCGTAGCGGGTGACTTTAATGCCCAGGTAGGCAGCTTAAATCAAACAGAAAGACATTTAGGTGGGTGTTTTAGTATTCCGGCTCAACGAACCGATAATGGTGATCGTCTGTTGCAACTGTGCTCAGACAATCGTTTATTTTCAGCAAGCACTAATTTTAAACATAAGGAGAGACATCGTCTAACATGGCGACCACCTGCACCAAACCAACGATGGACTCAAATAGACCATATTGTCATCAGTCATCGTTGGAGAGGCTCAATAGAAGATTGTCGCTCGTATTGGAATACTTGTTTAGACTCTGATCACGCTTTAATACGAGTGCGCATTTGTCTGCGCCTCAATGGATGCAGGAAAAGTACACTAAGAAGACCCATTAGGATTGAACTGGAAGACGAGAAAGCCAAATGCGAATTCCAGAAACAACTGAGTTCACATCTAGGCAGTTCTGTAAACGAGACTGACCCAGATGCTGCTTGGAAAGACACACGAACAGCTGTGGAAACGGCAGTAACATCTATTAGTCATTTAAACCATAGGGCTCCAAAAAACCAGTGGATTTCCTCTAAGTCTATTTCACTGATGGATTCGCGTAAACTCATCCCATCAGGCTCTGAACATGACGAAGAGCGTAAACAAATTAGATCTAGGTTAACTAAAAGCCTAAGGAACGATCGTGAGCAGTGGTGGGCAACGAAAGCAAAAGAGATGGAAAAGGCAGCGGCTGTAGGCAACACCAGGCAACTATTCAGACTAATAAAAGAAACCGGAATTAAGAAGTCAAGTGTAAGTGAGACAATCTCGCAAAAAGACGGAACCCTTATCTGCTCTCAACCTAAACGTTTAGAATGATGGGCGGAACACTTTAAGGAGCAGTTTAGCTGGCCTTCAGCTACTGCACAACTACCCACTATTCCCAGAAAACCTGAATGGAACATTGAAGTAGGCCCCCCGACCCTACTTGAAGTTCAAAAGGCTATAGGTAATCTGAAACGGGGAAGAGCAGCTGGTCCTGATGGATTGGTTCCAGAGGTTTTTAAATACGGTGGTCCAATTTTAGCGATTAGGTTGACTAATATTCTGGCTAAAATCTGGGAGACGGATGTAATCCCATCCGACTGGTCACAATCACTGATTGTCCCAATATATAAAAATGGGTCAAAATCATCCTGCGATAACCATAGAGGGATTAGTCTGACTAACATAGCATCTAAAATACTAGCCTCAATAATTATCGGGCGCCTAACTAAGACTCGTGAACTGCAAACACGAGAAAATCAGGCTGGCTTCAGACCTGGTCGTGGCTGTATCGACCACATATTCACCATTCGTCAAGTTTTAGAGCACAGACACGCTTATCGGCGTCCGACAATGATAGTTTTTCTTGACTTGAAAGCAGCATTTGACTCTGTAGACCGAGAAGTTCTGTGGCAGTGTCTGTCATTGAAAGGTGTACCTGAGAAGTACATAAACCTTGTGAAGGCTCTTTACTCGAACACTATTAGTCGAGTGAGAGCTTATGGCGAACTGTCATATGATTTTACAACCTCAAGTGGTGTCCGTCAAGGCTGTCCACTATCCCCATTTTTGTTTAACTTCATTATAGACCTGTTTCTGGAAATAACACTCTCATCGACTGAATTTTCAGGAATTGATCTCCTACCAGGGGGACCACTAATCGACTTAGAATACGCAGATGACGTAGTCCTGTTTGGTGAAGACGCTGGCAAAATGCAGAGTCTTCTGTTGGAACTCAGTAATAATGCCAGGATGTTTGGGATGCGTTTCTCCCCATCCAAATGTAAATTGTTACTCCAGGACTGGCCTGCGTCAACACTCGAACTAAGGATAGGAAGTGAAGTAGTCGAACGCGTCGACAACTTCACTTATCTTGGAAGTCTGATCAGCCCTAATGGGTTGGTGTCTGACGAAATCTCAGCACGGATTCAAAAAGCTCGTTTGGCTTTTGCCAACTTACGTCACCTATGGCGAAGACGAGATATCCGTCTATCAATTAAGGGACGAGTATACTACGCAGCAGTTCGCTCTGTCCTACTTTACGGCTATGAAACATGGCCATTAAAAGTAGAAGATACTCGTAGGTTACTAGATGCCTTAGAAATATTGCTCGCATCTGCTGGGATAACCGGGTAAGTAATAGTGAGGTTAGACGCAGGGTATTAGGGAACGATGGTAAATCAGTTGATGAGGTGATAAATCTTCATCGACTGAGATGGTTGGGCCATGTGTTACGTATGCCTGAACACCGATTACCACGACGCGCTATGATGACTAGTATTGGGGACGGTTGGAAGAGAGTTAGGGGCGGCCAAACCAAAACATGGCATCAGTGTTTGAAGTCACTAACTTCTAGCCTGAGCCATGTTGGCAGATGCAGACTACCTGGTTGGGGTCCGCGTGACTATCGTAACCAATGGTTGGAGACTCTAGGTGACATGGCTCAGAATCGGTCACAATGGCGTAGGTGTATACACTCTTTATCTTCCCTTAAACCTTGAGACTAAAATTGCTTCATATCTCTCTTCCTTCCTGTACTATATCCTTATATACAACCTATAATTTATATACTACCACCACTAAATTAATTACTTCTATGAATCCGGTGTTCCTCTTGTTGTGCTAACGAGGTATGGCAACTTGGACCGATGCATATATGTGCCTGGTCCTACGTTGTAGCTGACCTGACCTTGTGTCCAATGGGTTTCGCTGATTCCGAGTACTGCCAAGTTGTATCTTCTCATTTCCATTGCTATTTGGCTGGTTTTTCCTGTCTCCCACATCGTCCGGACGTTCCATGTACCTATAAAGAGTGTTGCTCTGGTTGTTAGAAGGTGCATCGGTCTCGTGACTTCCGAAGAATTTCGGCTTTCATCATGAGACGTCATAATTATTCCTTCAACTCCCAGGGCAGAGTTTAAATGGTTTGAATTATTTTTTCTGGTTAGCGTTTTTTTAGCGAGTTAGCTTTTCTACGGGATGGGGTCGCTAACCCCATGCCCAACCCTCCTCCTTTAACTGGGCTTGGGATCTGCAGTAACTCTAGAAGAGCTACAGGCGGAGTTTCAGTATCTTTAGTTGACCGAAATTAGAAATGCCAACTATTGGATATCGGCTCGGTGGTTTAAATGTTAAACGCTGCCCAATAATTGAAGGTTTTCTTGAATTCTTTTCTTGGTGAGATCATGAATGAGCACTGTCTAAAAGTCTCATTTTAGGACAAAATAGCTGTCCAATACATTCTAGTTTACAATGTTTGTCAAAACAAAGTCACTTTGTAATATTCAAGTGTATGATAGTTGTTTGTTATCCCCATTCCTTACAATTGATTAATCAACGAATGATGACCAATGTCATACGTACTTCCTATTTAAACATCAAAAACTCAAAGCTTAGCAAAAGAATCGATTGACTTTAAACTTCACCTTACATTTTGACATAGTGCATGCGATTTCGAGTCTCTAAGACTAGTGAAGACACTGCAACTTGATCGAGAGAATTTGATCAGCACTAAAGAAAAAACTTGACATACATTACACTAGAGACCACTTATTGATCAATCAATTTTAAATACATATGAGTCGTATAGGAGATCAGCCGTAACCTGAATAGCTCAGTAGTAAAGTCTCTGACTGTGAAACTGATTAACGATGGATCGAGTCTGCCAGGGAGTAGTAAATCTCTTAATATTACAGAAATACCTTGCTGATGAGTCCTATGTGACACGAAACCTCGGTCAAACAGGGTTTCCTGTCGATTATCTCCATCACCACCTTACTTTACCTCCATTCCTTATTAATGAATGCTACGGCAACATCGATCAGACTGCCCTTCCCTTCATGGCCGGTGACGACTGATCCACAAAGAAATCCAACTCTTAAAGCGCCACAAATCACCACGCCCAGATGGCTTACCTCCTGTCCTTTCTAAAGATGGTGGTGACTTTATAGTTAGGGAATTGACTGCGTTATTTACAAAGGTCTGGGAACTAGAGAGTGTTTTAAAATCGTGGAACGAGTCGATAGTTGTCCCTATCATTAAAAAGGGTTCACGTCGTTTCTGTAACAACTATTGGGAAATAAGTCTATTTACGATTACGTCCAAACTATTGGCTTCTGTCATACTTCGTAGATTGTTCAAAACTCGGGAAAGATTGACTCTTGAGGAGCAGGCGGGTTTTCGTTCTGGTTGAGGATGTATTAATCATATCTTCACCCTCCGGTAAATGTTAGAACACCGTTATACTTATCACAGGGCAACAATCGTAGTGTTTGTTGATATCAGGTCTGCCTTCGATCTGTTGAATAGGACTGTTCTCTGAGATTTTCTATTGGAGAAGGGTGCGTTTGTCAAATCCCTTGATTATTCACTTACTATTCTCCCCAACTGATATGTAATTAACTATAAACCATGTATATATGTATAGGATAAAGCACAATTAATTTTCTATGTATTTCATAGAGGTTATTGAGTTACTGTGCCAGAAATCATTTTGTATTCACTTATATACGTCATTCCGGATTGCCATACCGTATCAAGATTGCGAGGTGACAGTAAGAAAGAACAAACATTGAAATTATAACTCATTAAGATGGTATATATGGAGGAACACCTGAACTTTAAGTATAGAGAAGTACAAAGATTGAATGCATCTGTCTTAGTATGACCGATTCTCAACCATGCCACTCAGCGTTTCCAACAATTAATCACTGTTATCTCGTGGATTTCAATCAGGTAGTCTGCACGTACCTTTATGGCTCAAATCGACAGTCCATTGCTTCATAAACTGATGCCACATCTTCATCATCAATTGAGTTAGCTACTTGTTTTTTCTTCACTTTTATTTCGATTATTTGTCTTTTTTCAGGGATTCGATGACGATTATGATAACTATAACGACGACAACGAAGAGGAGGAGGAGGAGGAGGATGAAGATTATGACATGGATTATCATTATTCCAGTGATGAAATACTTGATGAAACTGGTGATAAAAAAATCACTCCATGGAATCAACCGTTAAGTAGGTGTTCACAAATCAACATAATCCTATTTATAATATACTAACCATATTGTGTATTTGCGACTTTGTGTGTGTGTACGTGTGAAAGAGAGATAGTTCAGTAAGGAATAGTGAGTAACTTTATAAAATACACCTTGTAAATTATAAATCAACCGTGTGAAACAAGCAATTACCACTGATTAATAATGATCACGTTGTGTGTGTGTGTTAGTAAATTATAAATGGGGAGGGGGTGGGGGCATCGGCAGACATTGTAGTTCACTACGTCAGATCTGAACTGAATGAAGAAAGATTTTCGAATGATTTGTGATGAAAATGTTTAAATATTGTTAAGTGAATGAATCTAGTGATATGTAATTGATAATTGTGAAATTTATATTGTTACCATGTAAACCATCGAGTGATGATTACTCATATAAGAGATTGTAATACTTTGAGCCCCCAAATGCCCTGGTACGGCAGAGAGTGAGCAGAGTCCGCTCTCCCTCTCCAAATGCTCTCACATGGCCACGCGTGTATAGCCTCTGCCAGGGAAGTCCTACTCACTGCCTTCTCGTATCACGGGTGTTGTTTACGATATTGAGAGGACGAAAAGCGAATGTCCGGCGCTTTAACCGGGTTGGTGGACACGGCGCGTCTACCTTAGGGAGTTGGAAAACCCTGATTCCAAAACAATGGTGTACATGGCCTAGCTCCAGTATCCTGAAGGAACAAGTGGAGTATGAACTAATCGTTGGTCACCGGCTACCATGGGGCTGCATCTCCTCACGATGTTCCACTGCCTTGTGGATCAGACCTTTAGGTCGAAGTCTCTGGGTGTGGCCCCCTAAGAAAACCATCTGCTTCAGTTTGGGCACCTGGACAGTATCACAGCCCTCACACAAATCGAATGAGATTTGTGTGGTGCATATGTATCTGGTGCTTTTTTGTACCAATATTTATGTGTCTAAATAAATAAATAAATATTTTAAAGTGCAATTTCATGAATTGTAAACTGATGCCAATAAAATAAGACTGTCGACCGGAAAAACAGACTTTTTTATTTAAAAAAGAACACCTACTTTTATGTCTGGAAGCGCCTCTGTTTTGTGTACATGTCGAATCTGTTGTATCCATAGTCGTACTGTTTATACTTGGATAAATAAGTTGAATTGAACTGAAGTTTTTAAGACAGCCGGGTGATATCACCAGTCACCTCTCTCTATTCACACGTAAACATAGGGAAGTGTAATTTAAAATCTAATCTTCTAATCTGTAATCAACTTGTATCAAATTAAATCAATGTTACTTTTGAGCTCTCGATCTAATTACCATTAATATATTTCTCTATAAAAAAACACACACCTTGTTATTATACTTTCCCATTGTTTTTAGTTCCTGATGATCCAAGTCTCGAAGATCCCGAATTAGCCACACAACAATTTTGTATAGGATTTTTACAACGTTATTGTAGGGATGGTGTAACTATGTCACCACCATTTTCTACATGTAGTTTTGAAACTGCTCTATCTTTGTCAGTTGGTACTAGTCAAGTGTGTGATGTAAGTTGTTGACATTTATTTTATTGATATGTAAAGTGTATATTTGTAGTATTGCTTGCTATGTTTAGTTACAGGGAAGAATTCTGAGCATATTTTATTGATCGATGCCTGGTTTTATTCTGATCATTGTTTGGCTTTTTTTAACCACTTCTACTTCAATCTCAGTAGTGAACCAACCGAAGAACTAAACATCAGTGGCTTATTCTATAGCTTTGTCGAATATATTCAGTGCCTCGATACTTATCTTGACCTCTGTTAAAGGTATGAGACTGGTTACCACTTCCCGGTTGCTTACACTTTTAAAAGATATTTCTACTCATTTCTAGTTTTCTCATTTTTGTGTAGCTAATTAGATCAAAGTTTAGGAAACGCGTATTTTGTAATTGAATTAAAGCATCAGACGATAGTATCTGATCAGTTTGTGTTGTATCTAGAGCTTTGGTTCTTACTATGCCGCGTACTACTAGACTAATTGAATGACAGAACCCGCAACGTCGCTAAGAGAAAAGAAAAAGACTAGTAAGTAGGAACTTTTATTCCCCAAATCAGTGTCAAAATATAGTACAGAAATCTCGTGTATTTATAGTTTTTTGACTGACAGTAAATCATCATTTCAGACAACCAATAGGCGAATAGGGGTCATTCTTGTCCATCCAATGGGGAAGCTACACGTCGACATTCTAGAATATTCTCCTAGCAGTGATTGGATGGAATATCTGTGGCTCTTCCTGGGCTTCTTAAGGCTTCCTAGAGTCTACCGACGAGCCGTCCTTACAGTTAGATTCCAATTTAGTGGCAAAAATGCAGCATACTTATTGCAAAGCCTATAGTTTTGAGTTCGACCCATATCGTGATCATAAGTACACATTACTGAGGGGTTCAATATTGAGATGGGCATTTTGACAATAATACAGTGTACATTATCATTTCAAAACATTAACTTCGGTAAATTGAACATGTTCTACAAACATTATTCAAGCGGATTTCTCATCGGCCATTATTTACGGATATTGGGAAGCAAAAGGATGTATGTTACGAAACTTTTCATTCAAGGTTATTTTAAGTGCAGTAAAAATAAGGGTATTTATAGGTTTATGTGTAACCTTGATATTCTAGAAGCTTCTGGAAACATAGAAAAGTTAAGAACATTATCTTTATCTAACCAAGACACAACATATTCTATGAATTCTCTACTAAACGCTGGTTAAATTAACCGTTTTCACATTTCGTAGCTTCTGAAGAAATTCAAAGCTTATGCTTATCTTCTATAAAGCCTTGAAACAGTCAAAGAAATGTTTGTATAGTTCTTTTTCCTCTTTTAAAACAAAAAAAACAAGACAATATTTACGTGTCAGTTTCAGTTTTCAAAGGACAGGAGACTTGCTGATCTGTGTTAGTCCTGGCGATGATGCTCTCTCAGTTGATTCAACTTTCTTTTGAAAGAGCCGACGGATGGAGCCTCAACTACTCGTTGATGATTCGATGATAAAGTCGATAGTCAGCTGACAAGTAATTTGTTCTAGGCTTGTGAACTGTTTTGGTATGTTCTCGTAAATTTTCTGTTTTGGAAGACAAGGAAAATATGGGCATATCAGGTGTAAATTTGTCACTAAGCAATTTGAAAATCAAGTCTCTTTTGATTCCTCGATATGACAACGGGAATAGGTTTAGCTTTGTCAGTCTATCATCATACCGGGAGTTTCGCTATTCCAGGAATCAGTATAGTTACTGTTCTCTGAACCCTTTCCAAAAGCTCACTGTCTTTTTTTAAGCAGGGGCTAATATATATATATTCATTTAGTATTGTTTGTTTGAATCTTCCTGGATTCCTTTGCTAGCCACTATCCATCTTTGCTTACGATGCTTGTGAATTAAGGCTATATCGAGGCAATACGCACTGTATGCACATATGCCAATTAGAGACTGACCAGTTGCAGTCCTAAACATCAATGTAAAGATTCAAACAAACAATACTAAATGAATTTAAACTTCACCCCATCACATAAGCAAATGTCTATCATGACTCAGTAGCTGAGTGGATAACGCGATGGCGTTTGAAGCGAAATGTACTGGGTTCGAGTCCCAGAATGAACATCAACTCTGAAATGTGGCAGGTACATCCAACTGACGAGTCCTAAATAGGACGAAACGCGCATCAAACTGAATTCCACTGCTCACCACTATCCATCTTTGCTTATATATATATATATTCAATCATCAACATCATTCAACTGATTTTCTTTTTCTTTCTTTCTTTCTATTTATATAGCGTAAACCATTATTCATCTATTTACATAATGATTCAAGTATAGCATGTCATGTATTCTGTCAACAAATTTTATGTTCATCTGGTTTAATAAGATTTTTAACTGATCATGATTTTAGTTTATGGCCATGGGATATAACATTAACACGTATTAAAGAACGTTTAATTGGTTGGTTTGAAGTGAAATTACCAAATTTATCAAGAATAATTACATCATTAAGTGTTAGTTAAAAATAATAATAATTATTATTATTATTACTTTGTGTGTGTGTGTGTGTGTGCATTTATTGATTTTTGCACATATTTTTTTCTTAATCTGAAAACTATTTTGAGACATGTTAAATCAATAATAAGAATCTGTGAAAGTGGTAAACACTTACTCCAAAAATTAAACTTGATAGGTTGTTTGATCATTGATTGATGGTAGTAGGGTTATGGATTCCTTTTCAGGTCCATCAAGAAATACCATTTCACGGTTTGCGCAGCTGGGAAGTGATATTACACCTCATACCCGTAACTGCACACGAGACCAAGGTGGTCACATTCAAATCCTTCTTACACCTGCTAATAACTCTCTTATTTCTACGACTAACCCTTCTCACGTCCTTTTTTTATTACCTCTCACCGCTAGGGCAAACGATTTGATTGTTGAGGTGGAGTCTCATTTTTGATGGAGTTTTGTTCTCTGAGCTACATGGTTTGGTCGTGGAGCTTTCATCTTCCTTCTGAATGACATTATCAGCACAAACTTCGGGTAGAAATGAAGTATTTGAATTTCTCCACAAGTGATTCGTAGCTTATGCAGGAGCATAGGAACAAAAATCAAACCAATGGGAGATACAACCAAAACAAAGAAATAAACAATGACAAATTTAAGGTCAACAAAAACCAATTAACATTGAGGTGCACAAGACAAGCTGTGAATCATATGTGGAGAAATTCAAACACTTCACTTGTACCCGAAGTTTGTACTGATGATGTCGTTCAGAACGATGATGAAAGCTGCACGACCAAACCATCCAGCTCAGAGAACAGAACTCCATCGAAATCACCCATCTGAGCTACAAATCTTCTCCATCATCTCAAAATCATATGAGTGGAGTCTCATGTTTGATCGAAACTTTTATCAAGTATTTCTTTTGATCTTCAGTGTCTACTTAATTGAATTCAATCGGTTGTTTTATATTCAAAGTTATTGAAATTTATGTATTCTCTTTTATTTTAAGAAAAGTTACCGCTGATTCATCAGATTATCGGTTTTCATCTCTACTTTCCGAACAGTACTCTTTGGTGTTATTTCATCTTGTCTTGGTGACGTCATATGTCAACTTAGACTAGAGTATATATAATATGTCAGGCTCTATAGTGTTCATGACTGTCTTCTACAAAACTCCTCATTAGGTCAGCGGTAAAAGTTGACTATTATTACTATTTGAGTTCCACACTAAAAGTATATGATGTCACATTGATTGGGATTGACTTGGTGATATAATTATTAATGTTTATTTATTTATCTAACATTGGTACAAGAAGGCACCAAATATATATGCGCCACGCTTCATTAGATTTGTGTGGCGTCTGGGATACTACCCAGGTGCCCAAACCGAAGCAGGTGGTTTTCTTAGGGGCCACTCTCAGAGCCTTTGACCTAAAGGTCTGATCCGCAAGGCAGTCGAGCTACGTTAGGAGATGCAGTCCCATGGTAGCCGGCGACCAATTATAGGTTCATACGCCATTTGTTCCTTCAGGATACTGGAGCTAGGCCATGTGCATCATTGGTTTGGAATCAGGGTTTCCCAACTCCCCAAATGGATCCTTTATATCCACCAACCCGGTTAAAGCACTGGACATTCGCTTTTCGTCCTCTCAATTTCGTAAACAAACCCCTACCCCGAGAAGGCGATGAGTAGGACTTCCCTGACAATAGCTGTGTGCACGTGGCCATGTGAGAGCATTTCGAGAGAGAGAGAGAGAGAGGGCGGCCCCTCCCCACTCTCGACCGTACTAGGGCATTTGGGGTCAACGTTACATTAGTCAGTACCCAGTGATCAATCAATTAATGATTAGTGGTGCATTGTTTGAAAATTAATATTGTTGCTACTATCTTCTAAAAAATTCTTTATAGGTAGATAGTTATCCTATTCTAGCAATGATTGTCAAATTATCAGGTCAATTAGAAGTGTTATGTATTGTAATGGGTACTGGGATTGTAAAAATGTGGCCACCAATTGATCATTTTCCACCTTTACTAAATGTACGTCGTAGTAGTAGTAGCAGTCATTTTACAACATCTTTACAATCAATGAAAAATGATGATAATTCCTCGTCAGCAGGAGGCGGTTGTGGTAGTTTAAAACCAGATGTAATTGTTGCAGAATTATGGCAAGCTTATACAACATATTTGGAATTGTTAGAACCGGAATGTGCAGCTGAACGTGAAATTATTGCTCGACGACGTGTACTAGAAGAACAAGAAGCTGCCTATGAAGAATCATTACGACGTGATCAAGAAAAGGTTGGTTATCTTCCTGAAATGATGATATATATAGAGAGACACATTTCATCTAGGTTGTTTTTTTCCAGATAAATACAAGTTCGTATTAAACAGTTATACGGTTATAACTATTATTGATGACGAATAAATGAAATGTGGCTAGCAGTAGAGTCCTGGACGGGATTCCAATCCAATACCTTTCGCTTTAAATACTAGTGAATTATCCACTGAGCTACTGAATCCGGATAGCCATTGGCTTGTGTCATAATAAACATCAACTTTGAAACGTATGCGCATCTAGCTGACGAGTTCTAGTTAGGATGATATACTCTTCCAGAATTTCACTGTTAGCTACATTCTGTCCATTCTACATCAAATTGTATCATAGTGACTATATTGAGGGAATCCACACAGGATCTTCATGCGCCTACTAAGATTTATCGAATTTCAGCTAAAAATATCAACAATAGGATAATCGAAATCATTACAAACTGAATTATAATTAAATTCACGAGTCAATCTAAGCGAGACCACTATTGAAACCCTGGAAGCAATGGACAGCCGTTTCGTTCTAGTGTGGGACTCCTCAGAAATGTGTATTCACAATCGTGCACGCAGGACTCGAACCCAGGATTTTCGGCCCTATACGAACACTTAACCTCTAGACCACAAAGACCGCACCCAACGATGTTAATGTCTGACCTCAGTCGATCGATGATCTTGCATAACCATTCATCCATTGTTTGAGAAAGATACCTGTCTCTAATAATAATAATAATAATTAATGGCTTTATTCAATATTATAATCTGGTACAATATAGAATTCTCAGCACGAGTTATTTCAACAAGTTTTTTTAACCAAAAAAAACCAATAGCTACTGCGCCACCACAGGTCTTTTTATTATTTGATCGATCCTGACGATAGATATTAAGATCATGTAATGATACTAGGCAATCATCCTGTAAGTCAGTCAACCAAGATTCTTGAATTGTGATGACACTACAATTACGATACATGTTTTGACTTAGTAGAAATTGGAGATAGTTCACCTTGTTAATTAGAGATCGATAGTTAGAGTTAAGCAGCTCGGGAATCGACATTTGCTTAATGTTTATTCTCTCTAAAGCATATTGCCAAACACCACAATGTCTCTTATTGTACTTGTTTGTAATTTTTGCAACGAAAGGACGTAAGCTTTTCATAAACGCGCCTGTATAGGTTATGCGATCAAGAGACATAATGATAGGTTAAAACCAATTTTTAAAAAACCCAGATAACTTGTTGAAATATTTAGATGGCAGAAACAGGTAGCCCAGGGATTCAAGCAGGCCGCACGGATTGAACTCTACTGGTCACGACTCCTTACTAGAACTCCAGGATATCCATTTTGAAGTTGGTCACTAGTAGTGATCATAAGATTATTATCAGTATAAAGATTTGTAGAGATTGTGAAAATACTAAAGAGGTATTATTCTATAATAGAGGGAGGAGTTTAGTAAAAGTTATCGCTAAAAGCGAAAGACCTCACCTTACCTCATAGGTTAATGTCTCCTGTGGTAAAACATTCAAATTATTAACTGACACATAAGAACCTCAAAAAATATCATATGTGATCGGCTTCAAGCAATTATCCTTCAGGCGTTTCAGTCCGCTCCCATGTCACGAAGACCATTACTTCTAGTCCAGTTTTCTTTTCAGGTCCATCCAGTAGAAGTATCTCTTCATGATGCGTCTGAAGAAAAAAATGATAACCACCCTTATATTTTAAACAGAACCCTAGATCCTCATTTCTACGATCAAATCCTTTCGTCAATTCTGAACAATTATATCTCCAGTGTCCAACAGTTCTCTGATGACTTGTTTGCCACCCTTGATTGATGCTGACTATTCGAGTTAATGTAATGTTATTCTTGGTCCCCAGAAAACACATTTTGAACTAACTACTTTTCAGAACTTTAATTGTTCGCTAATTCACACTGTACCATCATAGGTAGAATCTGTTTTAAATGTTTTGACTTTCCTCTGTCACTTCCACCAAACTAGTTGGTAGCAAAAGCTACTGGGTTCGAGTCCTTATGTGAAATAAAGGTTTCAAATAAGACGAAACAAATTTCTTGGATTCCACTGTTAGCTAAAATCGTTGTATTCAACTCCATTATTTGTTAATTATGTTCTTAAAGTTACTGGTAAACGTTATATACTTATCGTACTCTATTTCATCCACCCTGCTCCCCACCTACACCTAACAAAGGAATGGGAACGTGCTAAAGCCAAAGCGGAAGAAGATAAACGTAAACAACTTGAAGAAGAGAAACGTATAAATGATGAAATAAAAGCTACACAGCATCGATTACTCATGGCTGCTAGTTTGCCACCGGAACCGCCTACACCAAAGACACCAGCAGCTGAAGCATTTTTATCTACACCAAATGGTGTTGATGGTATTACAACGTTACGTTTTCGTTTACCTCCTCAATGTTCTAATGATCCGAATGTAAAGCATAATACAATGATTCGACGTTTCGCTGGTTCAGATATTTTAAAACATGTATTTATGTTTATGGAATCGAAAGGTTATTCCAAATCAGATTATAAACTCTTCACTACATATCCAATTCGAGATGTAAGTGCTTGTAGTGTTATTGTTTTTTGTTCTTTTTTTAATGTACTGAATTGTGATGGACATTGTTGTCGCCAGCCAAAGAGCTATTCATGCTTCATTACATCAAACCATGTAGAGTGATTATAACAATAGATATACTGAAGTAGAAGTCAGTCGTCAAGACAGTTCTACTGTACGGAGCTGAAACGTGGAGAACTACTACGACCATCATCAGGAAGGTACAAGTATTTATAAACAATTGTCTACGGAAAATACTCAACATCCATTGGCCGGATACTATCAGCAACAGCGTTTTCTGGGAGAGGACCAACCATCTTCCATCTGAAGAGGAAATTAGGAAAAGACGTTGGAAGTGGATCGGACATACATTAAGGAAATCACCAAACTGCATCACGAGGCAAGCGCTAACTTGGAATCCGGAAAGGAAGCGGAAAAGAGGAAAGCCAAAGAACACATTACGCCGGGAAATAGAATCAGATATGAAAAGGATGAATGTTAACTGGAAAGAACTGGAAAGGAAGGCTCAAGACAGAGTTGGATGAAGAATGCTGGTGAGCGGCCTATGCTCCTCGACAAGGGGTAACAGGCGTAAGTAAGTAAGAAGTCAGTCGAATTATCATCAACATTAGAGCCAAGCACAAACGTTTTTTTGATCCAGGTTATCATACGATATATGCACGAAGAGATGTAATTAACAAGATCAATGGCAAAAAAGATTGAAATAATATAGTAACAGTGATAGCGAACATGTGAGAAGAGTGTGAATTGAGGGATACTGAAATTCAGGAGTGGATTCATCTAGGCCGTTGTGAATAATAATAATGATAATATTATTATTATATTGAGCCATATCACGCAGTATCTCCACTGGTCGTGATTATCGTACCTAAAGCGAAGTAGGTGGTAGTTAAACATACACAATTTTTTTTTATTTAAACACATAAATATTGGTACAAAAAAGCACCAGATACATATGCGCCTCACAAATCTCATTCGATTTGCGTGAGGGCTGTGATACTGCCCAGGTGCCCAAACTGAAGCAGGTGGTTTTCTTAGGGGGCCACACCCAGAGACTTCGACCTAAAGGTCTGATCCACAAGGCAGTGGAGCATTGTGAGGAGATGCAGCCCCATGGTAGCCGGTGACCAACGATTGATTCATACGCCATTTTTTCCCTCAGGATACTGGAGCTAGGCCATGTACACCATTGTTTTGGAATCAGGGTTTTCCAACTCCCTAAGGTAGACGCGCCGTGTCCACCAACCCGGTTAAAGCGCCGGACATTCGCTTTTCGTCCTCTCAATATCGTAAACAACACCCGTGATACGAGAAGGCAGTGAGTAGGACTTCCCTGGCAGAGGCTATATACGCGTGGCCATGTGAGAGGATTTGGAGAGGAAGAACGGACTCTGCTCACTCTCTGCCGTACCAGGCCATTTGGGGGCCTCACGGTTATATAATATACACTTGTGGGCCAGGGTATTTGTGCTATTTGTGATATCGGAAACCACATTATTCAAATTCAAAACATCAGACATTATCACTGAGCTACTCGATTGACGACTGACCTTCTATAGGATAGGTATTCAAAGTTGACTCACCACTTAGTAGCATTCGATGTTATGTTTTTCTAGTGTTTTAATGCTCATGGTATTCAACCGACCAAGTGTCATGTGTATATGACATTGATGGAAAAACAAAATTGGATCATCGTAGTCGATTTTTTCAACTACATACAGTTAATTGTGTTAATAGTATGGGTGATTTATGGAGATTATTGATTTTGATTGGAATCATGAACCAATCAAAGTCAAAGGATAGTTGAAAACCTGGTAACACTAGATGGTCATTTCTCCCTGGTATATGACTCCTGAACAGTGCTGATCCGGGACTCTAACCTGGAATCTATGGTATCATATTTTCACTAGTGGCTGACTATGAGATGAAACTGGAGTTGTAGTGAGAAGCTGTGACCATTGCCATTCAATCATGTCGGGTATGAGACAGATATCTATCTCAGTCAATCGATGAGAGCTACACAATATTGTGGAATAATTAAAATTAGACATCAACGCTGTTGAATGCCAGTTTAGTCAATGGTCTGGAGGTTAAGTGCTTGTGTGTGAGACCGAAGTTCCTGGATTCGATTCCCAGGTTTTATTATTTATTTATTTAAACACATATATATTGGTACAAAAGGGCACCAGATACATATGCGCCACACAAAATAATGAAAGTAGGAAGAGAAGGGATGAAAAGATAAGGCGGACTAAAATGTACAACCAGAAGACTCTTTCAGTTAAGAAAGTTAGAACCACTCTTTATGTAGAAAGTAAAAGAAAGTTGCAGCAGGATCGCCACTGCCTTCTATTCTGAGCCATATCCGATAACGTCTATAGCCACTGTGTTGCACCATCTCTCGGACCCCAGCCAGGGAGTCGTGAAGGACCAACAGAAGCTAGCCCTTTGCAGCTTTCTTTCATGCCACGACACCATGTCATACACTGACCTCCTCTCCGCTTTTTCCAACACCGATTACCACGACGCGCTATGATGACTAGTATTGGGGACGGTTGGAAGAGAGTTAGGGGCGGCCAAACCAAAACATGGCATCAGTGCTTGAAGTCACTAACTTCTAGCCTGAGCCATGTTGGCAGATGCAGACTACCTGGTTGGGGTCCGCGTGACTATCGTAATAAATGGTTGGAGACTCTAGGTGACATGGCTCAGAATCGATCACAATGGCGTAGGTGTATACACTCTTTATCTTCCCTTAAACCTTGATATTAAAATTGCTTCATATCTCTCTTCCTTCCTGTACTATATCCTTATATACAACCTTTCCTTATATACTACCACCACTAAATTAATTACTTCTATGAATCCGGTGTTCATCTTGTTGTGCTAAAGAGGTATGGCAACTTGGACCGATGCATATATGTGCCTGGTCCTACGTTGTAGCTGACTGACTTTTTCAACCAGTCCCAGAGTCGGCAAATAATGCACGACGTGGAAGTCTCTGGGACGACATTCGTAGAACATGTCCAAGCCACCGAAGTCGGTGTTTCAAGATGGTGACACCAATTGAATTATCGTCTCTGCGCCCGAACACACGATGCCGAACCTCTACATTACTAACATGGTGTTGCCACTGGATGTCAGCAATCCTTCGGAGACAACGATGATCGAACACAGAGAGTCGTCTAACATCCTCAACTCGGAGAGGCCAGGTTTCACAAGCATAGAGCAAAACTGCTCTCACCGACGCGTTATAGATCCGACCTTTTACAGCCAGACTAACATCACGAAGGCGACAAAGATGGCCCAGATTGGCACAAGCCGCTCTGGCTTTCGTTATACGTGCATCAATCTCATCACTCACGCCACCACGAGCACTTATGTAGCTACCTAGATACACGAACTTCTCAACTACTTCAATCTGCTCACCATCCAGGGTGAGTACAGGGTGAGAATCCTGCCAGTCTTGTAGGAGTACTTTGCAGTTGGGGGGTGCAAAGCACATGTCGTACCTGCGGACACTGATTGCCAACTGATTAAGTGCGGATTGCATGGCTTTGGCATTATCGCACAGTAAGACAATATCATCCGCATACTCAAGGTCGAGAAGTCGTTCTCCAGGCAACATATCCACACCGCCATTACTTTCATCCATCAGAGCTGTTTCCAAGATGTCGTCGATGGCAAAGTTGAAGAGGAATGGTGAGATCGGGCAACCCTGCCTAACCCCACTGCTCGAATGGAACAAGGGAGAAAGGTGGTTGTATGCCCTCACTCTGCCTGAGGTGTTCGTATACAGGGCCTTTAAGATGTTAATGAACTTCTCAGACACACCCTTCTTCAATAGACAATCCCAGAGAACAGTCCTGCCCAACGAATCGAAGGCCGCCCTGATATCAAGAAACACTACGATTGTTGGTCTGCGATAAGTATGACGGTGTTCTAACATTTGGCGGAGGGTGAAGATGTGATCAATGCATCCTCGACCAGAACGAAAACCAGCCTGCTCCTCAAGAGTCAATCGTTCTCGGGTTTTAAACAACCTACGAATAATGATAGAAGCCAATAGTTTGGATGCAATCGGAAGTAGACTTATCCCCCGGTAGTTATTGTAGGAACAACGTGAACCTTTCCTAAAGATAGGGACGACTATTGACTCATTCCATGATGTTGGAACACTTTCTTGCTCCCAAACCTTTGCAAAAAACACCGTCAGTTCCTTAGTCAGAAAGTCACCACCATCTTTAAAAAGAGCCGGAGGTAAGTCATCTGGGCCAGGTGATTTGTAGCGCTTCAAGAGTTGGATTCCCAGGTGCGTAGTCATGGATGTGAACTACTTAGGAGTGCCATACTAGGATGAAACAACTGTCACTGGTAATGTATCTTAAAATCAGTTCGTAATTTAAACTTATTGATGTGCGTTAATGATATATGTTAATGTAAGCTCTTAACCCTTTTTCTTTCCTTCATTTAAACTATAGTTAACTTTAATGGATGAAAATATGACTTTAGCTAATTTGGATCTTGTACCACAAGAAACACTTACTTTAGAATTACGTTGAAAAAACAGGAAATACCAAAATGATCGATTTCCCCTCTTCACCTTTTTTTAATGATTATTTGTTACACACTCAACTCTCTGTACATTTACTTATACACACACCTACACACACACAAACACACATAAGTGTGCAATTGATAAATCCATTTTCCTTTAACTAACTTCTCTTATTAACATTTTCTTCCGTTTATCATTAAAATCCTAATAACATATTCATTCATACACACACAAACATACACACGTACACACATTTATACCCAGCAACAATATCATCTTTTTTGTTGTCCCTTTTTTATTTCTTTTTTTCTACCTGTCATTTGATAAGTATGATTTGAATATTACACATATTAACCATTCAATAAATCTACACTATATTTTCCCCCTTTTCGTCTTAATTGCAATGATGTGTGTACATTTTGAAGAATTTGGTTATCTCTTTGTTCATTTTGTGTTTCTATGTGTGTGTGTGTATGTGTGTTTGTTTATTTATTTATTACTTAATTTGTGTTAAACATTTTCTCTTCTTTAAAATGCATCTTTTTATTCTTCAGAACTGTTGAGATGGTGGTGATGATGATTTTGTATGTAGCTCAGGTGGGATGATTTTCGATGAAGTTTTATTCTTTGAGCTGGATGGTTTGATTGTGAAAGCTCCACGATCAAACCATCCAGCTTAGAGAACAAAACTTCTTCAGAATTGTAGATTCTTCCCTTTTCTGTTGTTGGTTGCATTCTGTGAATATTTTTGTGTTTATTCAATTACAGAGAAGAAAGATAACCATTTTGAATTAGTGATTATTGTTGTTTTCTTCTTCTTCTTCTTCTTCTTCTTCTTCTTCTTCTTCTTCTTCTTCTTCTTCTTCTTCTTCCTTTTCAATTTACCAAGACACCTATATTGAAGACAACTTCAAATATTTGAGTGATTCTTTCTTATTGACTCATTCTTTAGGGGAAGCATCGAACTGGATTGTATTGAAAATTGTTTTATTCTGTTTCTTTACATTTGGAGTAAATATAGATGCAGAAAAAAGTGATGTGATTGTGTTCTTTTTCTTTAGTGTTTTTTTCCTTTTCGGAAGTTTTGTAAACAAGGATGAATAGCGGCTAGCAGTGGAATCCAGATTGACGCATGTTTCGTCCTATTTAGGACTCGTCAGCTGGATGTACCAACCACATCTCAGAGTTGATGTTCACTCTGGTAACTCGAACTCAGTACCTTCCGATTCAAACGCCACACATTCCTAGACACACACACACACAGAGACTATACATATATGAAGACATCATACCTCACAACAATAATTATTACTTCATCAAGATGGCAGTTTTGTAAACGGTGTACTATAATTTAAATGAAAGTGTCTGTTATATCCTGATAAGAATAATGAATGGTAACTTCTGGGACACATTTATGGACCAATATGATATGTATATTGCCTATTGTATAATGGTTAAACAACTTAACTATTCAGATTCATTCACTTGGTATCGTTTGTTTGAATCTTCCAATTGGATTCCACTGCTAGCCACTATTCAACTTTGCTTATAATGCTTGTGAAATAAGGCTATATCGAGGCAATACGTACTGTATGCACATATGTCAATTAGAGACTGACCAGTTGCAGTCCTAACACATCGATGGGAAGATTCAAACAAACAATACTAAATGAATTTAAACTTCACCCCATCACACAAGCAAGTGGCTATCAGGACTCAGTAGCTGAGTGGATAACGCGATGGCGTTTGAAGCGAAATGTATCGAGTTCGAGTTACCAGAGTGAACATCAACTCTGAGATGTGGCAGGTACATCCAACTGACGAGTTCCAAATAGGACGAGACGTGTGACTTGGATTTCACTGCTAGCCACTATCAATCGCTTACTATAAGCTTCATTTTGACCCATACACTATTACTGTACATACACTATTACTGCCATTCCTGAGTTATCCCCAGTCTATTAATCACTGTTGCCCCTATTCGTATCTACATTTGGCTGAATCTTGTAGAAATGTTGTTTCCTATTTTATGGTACTATGTGGTCTGTTTGGCTGGTATGTAAACCCAATGTGTTTGAGGCGAATAATTCTTATTGCAGAGGCTGTTATTGGTGTCCTGAACTTAACTGGCTGGGCTAGGCAGATAGCAGGACAGACAAATTCTCTGGACTGCTAGTACGGGGTTTCGTATGTCATTAGTCCGATCGATAACTCACTGCTCTCTTATTGGCGATATTATCACGTTATACATTAACAGGGCACGCAGGTTACAAGTTATAACAGTGTCAATAAATTTATTTAAGGAATTGCAAAAGGCGGTTCTTCAATGGGAAAGTGAGTATCCTGGAGATTATTCAATTTGAAGATAATTTACTGACATTAATGAGTCTTGGTAAAGGAAAACCAATTTCAAACTAATTAGAATATAAATGTTTAAGTTATTGCACAAAAGTTTGATGAGGTTAACATGAGGAGTTCAATTTCGGATGCAGAGTTAGTAGTTGAGATTGGGGTTAGGAATAGAACAAAAGAATGTTTTATAGGTTTGTGGATGAATATTACATACTTGGTTCTTTGGTTTTAAATATCAACAGCCTTCTTAAGGAAATTCTTTATCTGTGATCTATATTCTTTAGTTCTCATAAGTTTACCAATCTTAAGCTTTTTGATAGTTATAAGCAGAGATGGATAGTGGTTAGTAGTGGAATCCAAGACGCGCATTTCGTCCCAGTTGGGACTCGTCAGCTGGATGTACCTGCATCTCTGCTTATGATGTTTGTGACTTAAGGCTATGTCGAAGCAACACTCACAGTATGCATATATGCCAATAAGAGAGAGACTGATCAATTGCAGTCCTAAACACTAATGGGAAGATTCAACCCAACAATACCAAGTAAAGTCAACTCTTACAAAGATTTCTGGCATTACAGATCAAATCTAACTGGAACCCATTGTCATGTGTAAGATAGAAGGTTGAATTATCAAGGTTCAATCACTCGCTGGCAGAGTTGTGCATGTGCACTATAAAAGACTGTCATGCTTACGAAAAACTATTTAATCTTGAGAAAAGATTCTATGCACAGTAACATATTTAGAGTATACTTTGTAAAGATGTTTCATCTACTACATAATAGTATATATATCAGTAAAGCATTTAAACAACTATTGAGCAATAAACAATTATCCTCTTTTGAAGAATATAAATATTTAAGTCCTACAGAAGGATATTTGTTGTCTGAATGATTCAGTGGTAACGTTTCAGACTGTGAAGCTAGTTAAGGTAGGACTGAATCAGAAGGGGTTTTGTAGAGATTTCAGTATTTTAATAGTTGAATTCATGAGTCAATTGATTCTAGACCACCATGAAAAACCTAGAAGCACTGGACGGCCACCAGGCGGGATCGTTGATGCGCACTGCTTAGGAGTTTCACAATAGGACGAAACGGCTATTCAGTGCTTCCAGTTTTTCCATGGTGATCCTGATCCAGCTTTAATGGACTCATGAATTCAACTATGAAAATAATAAATCTCAAAAAAACCCTTCTGATAATAATAATCATATGCACACTAGTGACTGACTTCGAGAGGAAAATCCAGGAGTTCTAGTGAGAAGCAGTGACCAGTGGAGTTCAACCAAGTCGGTTATGAGATATCAACTCACTGAAGACAATTGGTGAATGGTTGCTCAACTTCGTGGATTGGTTGAAGTTAGACATTAACACTGTTGGATGCCGGCTCAGCGGTCTAGAGGTTAAGAGCTCACGCACGAGACTGATAGGTCCTGGGTTCGAATCTCCCGAGGCGGGATCAAGGATGCGCGTTGCTGAGGAGTCCCACAATGGGACGAAATGTCCGTCCAGTGCTTCCAGGTTTTCCATGGTAGTCTAGCTTCAATCGACTCTTAATTTCAAGTAGGACTGAATCATACAAGAAATATCAAATTTTAAATACACCTACTGGTGAATTCTAACCATCTAACACTTAAAAATAATATACGTGATATCAAATCAGTTAAATAAGTGATCGCATATTGTGACCTAATCGATTGAAATATCATCAACATTAAGGGCTTAAGAAACATGATATTGGTTATTAGTTAATGATCAATCAATGTGAACAGTCTTAATCTATCTTAATGGAATTCAATATTTGAAAATATTCTAGTTGTATGTTAGATGATACACGTGAGGAGCCTCACAATAGGACGAAACAGCCATCCAGTGCTTCCAGGTTTTCCATAGTGATGTATTTATCACTCAGTGTCATACTGTTTACATGATATTCATAGACATTCCATACATGCATAGCACATTGAAATTGGTAAATATATACTGCGTACAGAGTTTAAATGGTTTGAATAATTTTTTCTGGTTAGCGTTTTTTTAGCGAGTTGGTTTTCTACGGAATGGGGTCGCCAACCCTATGCCCAACCCTTCTCCTTTACCCTGGCTTGGGACCGGCAGTAGACCCCGGAGGAGCTACAGGCGGAGTTGTCAAAACGGTTCTACTGTATGGGACGGAGACGTGGAGAACTACGAAAACTATCAGCCAGAATAATGTCAGATATTTTAATCCAATGTGACTTATGGAATCCTCGGCAGTGCGCATCCACGAACCTGCTCTCGCGAGCGAGATTCGAACCCAGGACCTACCAGTCTCGAGCTGAAGCCCTGATCGACCACTGGGCTGGCATCCAACGGTGTTAATGTCTAACTTCAACTGATCCACGAAGTTGAGCAACCATTCACCAATTGTCGTCAGTAAGTTCCTATCTCACAACAGACGTGGTTTTGAACTCCACTGGTCACTGCTTCTCACTATAGCTCCTAGATATACTTCTCGTAGTCACTAGTGAGCATATGATTATATTAATTATCAGAAGGGGTTTTGTGGAGATTTAGTATTTTTCATAGTTGAAAGCATGAGTCAATTGAAGCTAGACCACCATGGAAAACCTCGAAACACTGGACGGCCGTTTCATCCTATTATGAGACTCCTCAACAT